AAGATACTGCTTATATTAAAGACGGGGAGGGCCATTACTACTCGAATATGCTTGAGTATCTAGGTAAAGCACCTCCTGTGTCAAATGTAGTCAAAGATACTTCGAACTTCTCAAGACAAAGACTTTAGGCGCATCTGATCGGGTTGCAAAAGATGTAGCCAACAAATCAAGCTGCATGAGTATGATTATTCCTGGCGAAGGCCCCGAGAATGATGTTAGCTTAGGGGTAGGCATGTTAGCTAGAGCTAAATCTCATTATATTAGATTAGAGAGCTATAATCATATCAAGCTAGAGCTATTAAGTTTGACTCGTATATAGCAGCGTTAGCCCAGAAGTATGTGTGATACATTGTCTATTCTCTTGACTCTTATACATCTTGACGTAGTTCATATTCGATATGTATATCATCATTGCTACCGACAACATGAACTTAGCTCTAGGTTAGTAAATCATAGTACTAGACATTGTTGAGCAGTCCCAGCAGTAACCCGCCGCTCCACCCACAAGAGCCTCTGACCTCCTCGGTTCCACTTGGTAATCCCCCAGCAACAACAGCCCATCAGACTGAGGAGCAGAAACATAATATTTCGAGAAGCTAGGAATCCGACTATAACCCATGTTTTATATCAGCATCCAAACTCACCGCGTAGATGTCCCAAGAAGCACATAGCAGCCACGAGAACCCCAATACACCAAAATACCTTTCAATCTTCTCTGCTGAACCTCGTCCCATTCCCACGATTGCTAATAAAACCGTAGGATTTAACCTCATTGAATTTACAACCCTAGTCAATCTTCCCAGGAGGCTGCCTCAAAAGCACCATAGTCGTTGGCTATTAGCTACAAGGGGGTGTTTAGGTGGCTGTGTGTACAAGCCAGTCGAGTATTATGTAGTAACCGTAAGATTTTACCAGGAGACACCCCAAGATTTATTCTCGCGATGCTATTGATTTAAGCGACATCAGGTATTGGTGTGTCTAGTAGGATAGTGCGTTCGGTAATGTTGCGAGATTGAAACTTAGCCTTCTCCAATGAGCAGAAAATATCTTCAATACACGACAAGGCTGTCAGGTATTCCCCTTGAAGGTAGTCAACGTAGATAGCGATCACGATGGAGGTGGTTATATACTAAGCTCCGGGAAGATGCCCTTGTAGACACTACCGCAAACCCGTCCGACGAGTTCCTACATATTAAGACTTGATCATTTTATAATAAAGCATATATAAGTCATGCCATATCATTACACACAGTCGAATAGTCAAACCAATAAAGGTAAGCTAAAGATTAAAACAACATAATCCAAGTGATATATTCCTAAATGCTGATACATCTGACGTGGTCCTATACTATCAATACAGCCAGGCCATCGGCCTAATGCAAAAAGAAGCGCCTCGCCTAGCTAATTTTACTATTCACCCCAATGAATCTGGGTGCCTCTTGCGTATCTCGTTACGCGGAAGAGTAAGGATTAAAAATCGAAATGCTATTTGCAAATATAAAGCAATTCCCGAAGCGCCATCCGACTGATCTTTTGCTTAGAATTCGAGAGTGATCTTCTGTCCCTTAACGCGCCCTATAACTTGCTGAGGTGCGTACTTGGGGATGACTTCATCGTCGTGTAACATTTCAAATTCTTCTGTCGCATCCCGGCCCATGAAGTTCATGATGGCCTGGGGACCGCCGGGGTGCTCATCGAGCCAGTTCGTCAGGTCCATGACGACACCCTTGACGACAACCCAGAGGTCCTCCTTTTTGTTGTGTTTGGCTACCTCTTCTAATGTGAATTCCTTCTCCGGTACCTCAAATGCTTTTACGTTCTGGGCCTTTGTTGCGGGCTGGGATGACTTGCCACCCTCCGCAGTCGGAGTAGGGCCGGTAGCACTGGTCTTTTGACCAACACCTCCGGATGACGAGGAGCTGGAAGTACTGCTTCCCCACTCGACGGATACCTTGCCCGGTTGAGACGGGTCGATGTGTAAGGAGATCTGTCCAAGACGCTGAGCAGCCCCAGCGGAACCTGTGAGAGCCTGCTGGAACAAATAGTTGCTGGACGAGTCTCCAGCAACGCGGCCGTAGACGACACAGCCTAGAAGCGAGGAACCACCAAGTCGGTTCGCACCGTGGACACCACCAGCCAACTCACCACAGGCGTATAGACCATCGAAAGGCTTGTGGTCCTTATTTAGGACCTGAGCCTTGTCGTTGATCTCGATACCACCCATGGTGAAGTGAAGGACTGGCTCCATCAACGAGACGTGAAAGTCGTCGTTGATATCTAGAGGCAAGTTGTGGAAGAACTTCTTGCCCCAGGGGTCCTTCTGCTTACCCTCGGCGATAGCATTGTAGGTAGTGAATGTCTTCTGGAGATGCTCGGGAGAGCAGCCGATCTCCTTAGCGAGCTGCTTGCCGGTTATCTTCTTCATCAGGCCACGACCAGAGTAGTGGCGGGTGTGAAAGTCCAAAACATTGGAAGCCTTGGAGTTGAGTACTAGTCGGATAGGGAACTTGCCCTTGTCCTTCTCCTTCCACATCATGCCTGAGACGTAATCTCGGTGGCCGAGCTCATCGCAGAATCGGTCACCGTCGGCGTTAAGCAAGAGACCACCCTCACCACGTAGGGCCTCGGCGGCCAAAAACTTCCACTTCGAGCCAGGATCCTTGGGGTCAACGAGACCCGTAGGGTGAACCTGAACCTTGTCCATATCAATTCCGTTTCCACCGATAGCCATAACCATCTTCTGACCATCACCGGTGGCGTGTGTGCCATTGGTAGTGGCGAGGCCGATGGTATCGGGCCTGTGCTTTTGCAACAACGAGTTCTCGCCAAAGTCTGCGGCGTAACCACCGGTAGCTAGAACGACAGGGCCCTCGAGAGTAGCGCTCTCACCGCTGGACTCGTATGTGACACCGGTGACCTTGTTACCATCCTTATTTAATCCCGTAACGCGAGCCTTCTTGATAATCTGGACGCGTTCGGGTTCGGTCTCGGCGAGCTCTTCTAACCTTTGCATCAAGGCATATGTGATGGCCATACCAGGGAACTTGGCATCGTGCCCTCGGTGTGTCCTGGGTTGAGAGTGACCACTATCGAGCTAATTAGCATAAATATGAGAGACCAACGAGATATTGTCTCGACTCACCCAAGTCGCGAAACTAAAGTTAGGTCTAGGTTGAAAACATCTTGTAACCACTCAACTGCGGCTGCGGATTTGTAGGTGAGGACCTTGATGAGATCCGGTCTAGCCTGGTCTCGTGCGGATTTGAGGGTATCATCGTAGAACTGCTTTACGCTGTCCTTGATGTTGTTATCGACTTGTGTCCGCGTTAAAGCACCGTTGATTCCCGATGTGGCCTTGGTTGAGTTTCCTCCGAAGAACCCTAAAATGAACAAGTTAGTTTCCAAGCTCATCGAGTCGCACACTGAATAAGCTCAATTGCTCACCTTGCTTATCAAGAACCGTAACATTACCGCCGGCCAAGTAAATTGTGTGTGCAGCACTCAGACCGGCCACTGTATGTAATTGTTAGCTCGTTATCGCCAGAATGGTGATGCCCACAAGAAGCGGGGAGAGAATTGAAGCTTACAGCCACCACCAACGACAATTACTCGAGGTGCCATTTTGATTGATTGATGTGATATATTATACGGAACTGCCTAGGTTAGTTACTGGTGGGAATGGTGTAGAGATGGCAGGAGAAATGAGAGAAGGGGATGAGAAGTAGATTGAAAATGTTAAAGTTGAAAAGAAATGCGAGAGGGATGTCGGGGCTTGATATTTCGTTGTAACTGTTTTACTAGCTGACCTTCTAGGCCGAGTCGAAGCTGCTCTACTTTGAATTGCTTACACTCTGATTCGTGCGCGGGCGTGCCGAGGTCAACTCTTAGCGCATCAGGGGTCAAGCAGGTACCTAATGTACCTAATGTACCTACCTATCCCGGTACTTGCGTCTACCTAATGTACTTGCCCGTAGTTGGTACTTCTCGCTCTTAGTCCGTTTCTGCAGCGAAATGCGTACAATTTGCTATTATCGCACTTGATACTTGATTCAGGTCTTCTAGTCTAACACAAGACTTATAAGTACCTAACCTAGACATATAAGTATTTTTCCAGTTTTTAGTATTGTGGCTACTCACATCCAGGTGGCTGGACAGAAACAGAGGTACATGGCCTTCGCACAATAATCGGCCGAGGAGGTGATGTCACTAGCGGCCCCAGTCGCGCGTACTCATGTACACCGAATTATCCGGTACATTTTGGCCAGAATGCCGAGGTTTGTACATATGTCGTGTCCACTATCCGCATCCTCCACATTCAAGAAATGTTTATGGGGGCAAAGTCGACGGCTCTAAAGCTTCTTCCCCACAGTCACGAGCTAGACGGTTAAACCTTGTACGGCGGGAACCCACGGGGTTGAGATCGGATTATCAGGAACGCCCTTTTGTTCTTTTGTTCTTTTGTTAGAGTGGCAGAGTGGCAGAATAAGAGTATCAAGTACATAATCGGATGATTTAGCACGCATACAATTGGATACATACGTACAACACGAGTCTGACAGAGCCCTTATGGACGGACGCATGTGATTATCCCTCCAAAGAAAAAAGCTGCGCCCCGGACCGACGAGACGAAAGCGGCGTCTCCCCCACAAAAGAGTCTCGCGTGTCAGATGATTCTCTTTAATGCGCAATAACAAGACTGGCAGACTGGTCGCATGGCAGCTGATCTAAATCTAGAGTTGCTGACGGCTAGTCCTTCACTGCAGAACTGTGGCAATACATAGCCATAACTACTACCTACCCTAGGTAGGCTAGAATTGATTGAGACGTAGTATTTTAACATGTGAAAAATGCGGGATGTCTGCATTCCACGGGTAGCTACATTGTTAGCTTAGGAACCTAATTCTCATGAGGACCTCACTACAAGGTAAAAGGATTTTAACTTGTGAGATTTATAAATTCGTGAAGAAGAAGAATAATAGTATCATTGCTGTCCTCGAGAAAAGAATATCTAAATGTAGGCGTCTTCTAGTCCAGTACTGTTGATATCCTAGAGCCTAGAGCGATTTTTGTTCGAGATAGAAACCCGAAATATCAACATAAACATGTATATGTTATGTCAAGCCTTAACGTCAACTCCTAAAGCACCGGTATAGGTCTTGGCCCCGCGGGTCTTTGCTGCTGTCTTGCCTCATCCCAGTCCATAAATCCCCAAATTCGCTGAATCTTGCCGTCCACAAACTGATAGGTCGCATGCTCGGTGAATTGGACTGCATGGCCATCGACTACTAACCCGGCGTATTCCTTGACTGGTGTTCCAGTAAACTTCAGCCACACTGCTACGCGCTGCGATTCCTCGTCAGCTATCAGGGTGTGAATCTGTACTTGAAGGTCTGGGATGGCCGTCACCGTGTCGTCCATGATGCGGCGAGCCAAGGTCTTGTTGTTGAGTGCCGCTTCTGGCCGGTGGACATACTTGGCATACTCCGACTGGGTTCGGCGGGCGTTAAAGCTGTCGACGTAGGCTCTGTAAATTTCTTCCAGCTTCTTGCGGGGCAGTGGCGCTTCTATCTTAGGCACGGGCTCCTCGCTGATGAGATTAGGCACAAAGTCGCCGTCGGGATCCGCTAGCTGCTTGCGTATCTCGTCGCTATTCACCGCGAGTAAAGCTTTCGACAGCTTGCCATCCGTAAACCAAACAAAGCCTCGTTCCACCAGTAGAATATCGCGACCCTTGGGTAGGTAGCCTAGGAGAGGTACCTCCGGTTTGAATTTGACCCATATTGAGAACGAGGCACATTGAGCATTCTCGTCTACAATAATGCTGTCTTCGTTGATGATGATATCTCCTCCTAGCTGAGGAGCCACGTGCTCCCTAAGATGCGTCGCCCACGACTCGGGCGTGTATTCTATGCCATTCTGGTTGTATGTCGAATGCACATATTTAGGCAGGTCGTCCCATCTCTTCTCGTTGACGCACTGGGTCCAACCCCTAATGGTCGCAACTAATTCAGAAGCGGAGGCAGGCATGGCGATATGTCCGTGGGTTGAAAATGGATGATATTCATTATTTTGAGATTTTTTAGGCGAGGTTTGTCCTAGGATAATATTCTCGCGGATTTACTTGAGCGGGCAAGCCTGATAAAGATCCCCATCATCGATGACTAGGTTGAGAAGTGACGAATGGCTGACCGCCACATGATCGTCGGGCATGATCAAAGAAACGTAGATACGCCATGGTTTTAACGCGCGTCAGTGTGCGGAATGGATAATAACTCAGCTTATCCAACGTGAGGACCATGCTTTATGACTTGCGTAGCCCCTGGTCAGACCCAGTCACCCAGAATCTGCTTCCGGCGTCATCTTTGTTCGCCGAATAAAAGCAAAAAGGCGGTATTTGTCATCACCTTAGCTAGAAGATCCGCAACACCTATCTGCTGAAGTTCTTACGGCGGAAACGTGGAGTAAATGAGATGATATATAGGTAGGTTGGGTACTTAAGGTTACCAGAAAAGACACCTCTTCTTTTTCTTTGAAAACGTGACTATTAAATGGCTGTTTTGGCCTCTTGTAAAAGTATGCATGGCCATACTTATGTTTGACGAACCGAGCGAAGTGATGATACTATCATCGGAATTGCTTAACCTGGCGTCTGGTAAAAGAGATAAAACGGACCCATCCTGGCCTGCGTGATTGGTTATTTCGGTCTCGAGACGCATTGTCTTTAACCTGTCCCAACTATCTTTGCCCTCGATAGCAAAGCCATACCTGACATCGGGTGCCATAGTGGTAGAATACTTTGAAAGATACATTCTTAGCCAACAGACAACCACAACGTCAACACCGCCCACGTTCAGCCGTAGGTAGCCGAAGAACTTTTTACCCCCGGTTAGAAATGCGTTGAGACTGTAGTCAAACGACTCTTGCGGTATTACTTTGACGATTCTAGAAGCTAGCTGCCCCTCGAATCGGAAGAGTAACACGCCTACATATTTATCTTGTATTAGTTGGCTGCATGCCCATGGTGTGACTGATTGTTTCCTGATATAGATGCGGTGTGCTGGTATGTCAGAGACGCGGTCGCTTGATAGTATGGCGAGGATGCCTGGATTCTTGCGGATGTATCCATCAAGAGTCAGTCTGATATATATGCCGTATGACAATTTTTCGCATTTATCATCGGGGTACGAGCCAGTGTAGCCGAGCGGTAAGATCAACGTATCGTTAGGTGCCCTGTATAACTGAACGTCGTCGAGACGGAGACCCTTATTAGTGATAGCGACCTCGCCGCGAAAGGTACTCCTGACGCTCTCGCGTTTTAGTCCCTCCAGTTCTGCGAATTCACAGGGGTGAATAGCGAAGATGCCACGATACCAATCAAACAAAGAAGAAGAAGCGTAGCCTGGCCGTGCTGTCCATGCAAATAGAGATAAGTCGTGGGTCTGCTTGCAGATCTCCTCTTGAAGCCGAAGAAATGCCTTGTCCCCCTCGCCGTATAGTAGGGGCATATTAATTTCGAAAATACCTAAGAGGCAATACGCTATATCCTCTGGTCGTGTTGTCTTTCTCTTGGCAGCCCATCGCATCCGAGTGCCAACCGGGGCAGACCAGATTAAGTAGTTACGGGCCAAGAATTCAGGCTCGATTCCGGTAACTTCTGATATAGGGTCTAACAGCCATGAGTCCTTGGTGCCAATAAAGTCCCAGTTCCCGTCGTAGAATTCGACGACGCTCGGCGCTAGTAGCTCTTGAAGCGTCCAGCCTCTCGTAGTCCACTTACATTTTCTTAACACAGCCGGAGTGATTCTCTTATATGGTCCAAGTGGAGTATCCCATAGATCAGCCGGTTCGAGAACCATATCAGAAAGCCATACGAAACACACAGCTGCCTCTTGATACCATTTGAACATACAGTTGATGGCCTCGGATAGCTCGGTGCTGCTTGTCTTATCAATGCAGCAAGTATCTATCCAGGCATAGTCCAGCATGTGTTTGTCTTTGGCCAATTGACACGTCTTCGTAATCTTGGCAAATCCGCGCCGCTGTGCAATCGACGCCCATTTCGTAATATCTGAAAATTGTTGGAAGGATACTTCTTCGTCCTCCCACGTATGTGATAAGATGGCATAAGAGCGCTCCTTGGGGCTCGCAACAAATTCAAGCTCCAAGGTTTTGGTGTTGATTAGCCACATTTCTTCTTCTTCATCTGCTGCTTCACTTGACTGAAGAATGGTATGAGTTTCTTAAAATATGGCATTGGCTCTCGACATATAGAAATTCGCTTGTGGTTGAGGATAGCTCATGCTGTATAACGTTGTATTGCGAGATAGCAGCATCAGTAGTCGGCATAGTAGCATGCTGTGCCTTTTTGTCTTAGCTACCAAATTCATCAGTACGCAATGGCGTTCGAATAACCCGGCTTTATGTCCATTGGCCTTAGAATTAATGTTTACCGAATAACATTAGTTTAAGACATATCTCACGAATCACCATTCCGTCCCCGTTTCGCGTTTACTTTTTACTTTTTATATCCTTTCGTTATTTACTTAGACGTGGTGGTGGTGGTAGTAGTAGTGGTAGTGGTAGTGGTAATATTAGGATAACTATCTGGAAGGTAGAGATGTTCAGTCTTGATTAGCAGTTAATCAATATCAATCGTAATGCTATATTTAGCGTGTTGCAGGTGCTGCAATGCACGGCAGCAATGCAAGTACATACATATTTACTAAGCAATAGAATCCTTCAAAATATTATTCGCTAAAGTCAAATGAGGCTATTCTACGTTGAGATGGTTTAAGCAAGGGGAGCTGCAAACGGGTTGCCATCTACTTCATTTACATAGTTATAGCAGTTCTGATTCCTAGCTAGGTTTATACGAATATGCTGTGATAACCTCAGGTACACTATAATATAATGAATGTGTTAGAAAAGGTACGTAGGTACATAAGGAATGTACTGGACGGGGATCAGGTGCTTCAAGTCTCGAGGGGTGATGTCATGCCGGGGTACGTCGGGGTACGCTAAGCATGCCTAAAGCTTGTAATCCGTACATAGAACCTTATCTACTATCTAGAACCCGAGCAACTGGATTGATTTGCCTCCACCATTTAGTATCCATAACTTACATACGATTGCAAATACATTTCTTTTCTTCTAGAAGGATGAAGCCTTTGTCGCTATATTGTCTCCAACTGTTAACAGCGACAGTATCCGCCCAACACGTCGCTCTACCCTACGGTATACAAATGAAGTCTAACGCCCAGAAGCCCCTCATGGACATCGGTCCCGTCATGCCACCATCACAACAACCTGGAAGCTCCGAGCAGCCCCCTCCCCAAGGAGGTGTTCTTATCTCTGATGTGATGGGTCGAGACCGTAGCATCAACATATTCGCTGGATTCACCCGCGACATCGTCTCGATATCCTCCCGCCTTAACGACTCCTCGAAAAATAGTACCGTCCTTGCCCCGCGGAATTCGGCTGTCGAGAAGCTACCGCGCAAACCCTGGGAAGACCCTAAGGACTACGATGCGCTCGGTACTAACGCATACGAGGGCGAGGACGGACAAGATAGGGCTCACAGGAATCTGATGAGGTTCGTAGAGGCACATGTGGTCTCTGTCAGCCCTTGGCAGGAGGGGGAGAAGGTTAAGACGCTACTTGACGGGGATAGAGAAATATGGTGGGAGATGAAAGGTGGTGTTAGAGTGGTGAGTTGTTTTTTTTCTTCCTGGTATTATGATAGCGGATATACAGCTGACGATCTTAGATCCAACCTGACGGGATCCAAGTGGACAGTATCGCGAGCCGAGTTGGGAATGGCGAGCTATGGATCCTAAACGGAGTACGAAATTATGTTTAAACGCTAAAGTTTTAGTGAGTGGTATGATATGATATTAGGAACTTTGTTATTAGAGCTGATGAGCGACCACTACATAACTATGGTCTATGATGTATCTTGTTGGGATGGCTTTGCTACTGGTTCGGTTTATGGATGGAGTTTAGGAGGATACACCCTACTGGTAGTATAGATAGCTTCTGTACTTAGTATTGGGGATTTGCCTAGGCTTGTAGCTTTTTGACTTAGCTATGTGCAAGCAAATATGGTTGGATTCGGGCCAGCTGAACATTTGATATCTACATTTGTAAGGAAGGAAGGAAGGAAGCGTAATAGAGAAGATCGAGGATGCTTAATAAAACCGTATTGTTGAAATATAATATTCAATCGTATCTTCAATAACTACCTACTTGAAAATGTGAAAATAATTCGTTATTCGGGGATATGATAGTTACCAAGCTGAGAATTATACATCTATTAGTTTCTCATTAACTAGCAAATAAAATTGATAGTATTGTTTAGTCGCCTGTATGTAAGCCCTTAATATTCCTATAGTGCTGATAAATATAATGCTCTAACCTAGAACATATATAGTATAATTTTGAAGCTCTCTTTAGACCGAGAATTATACATAAAATAGGAATACCTAACATTAGTTAGCTTCTATGACCGAGGTCGGTACGATATAAGAGCCTAAGAGATAGGTTGTATTACATAGCTCCTAAATCTCCACTAAACGCTAAACTCGATTTGGAGCAATAAAAAGCCCGCTTGCTCTCTTATCTCCATGTGACCGTCGTAATAAAATAAAGAGAGCCACTTTGCTTGTTATCGGCCGCCGCTGATCGCACGGCAAGAAACCTTGTCTCCAAGCTGTCGCGGCTTGATCTCATTCAGCTTTTTCCTTCTCACCAAAAATTAAAAGACACCATCCTATGCCGCGCTCTGTTCTCGTCGATAGAATAGTATCCATGTAGAAAGTAAGTTCACCCTGGTTACGGAGGAGCGCGATTTATCTCTTCTCCTTTTTCTTGGATGGATGGCTTCTAGGGTCGACTCTCAGCCTGCTTATCTCCTGACTGGCCTCATTGGGCTTTGCTCGTAGCAACGCGCGCATTTCAGCACATAGAAAACCAGTTTAGCTGACGTTTTGAACTATCAGATCCGCGATTTTGAAGCGAAATGAACTCCCATTCTGAGGAAATGTCGCATCGCGACCGCGAGTCGGCCGAGCGACACCAGAGAGAGCAGTTCCCTGTTGGGACTCCCCGCCAGAGCAATACCGCGTCGTTACAGATCCATCAGCCCGTCGCCTCGCGACTCCCCGGTGCCATCCACAGTCCTGGAGGTCTTCTAGCGACTCATGGGGGCTCGGGACCTCCTATCCCTCTCGGTGCTCCCTCCGGCTCCGTAAACAACTTTGGCGGTCCATTGCAAGCTGAGTCGAACCGTACACTTCCGCATAATGCCCAGAATGCATCGAGCCAGATGTTCGGTGCTATAGGTGGTCACAATTCGGGCCCCTCTGGCACTTCGGGACCTGCAGCACATCTATTTGGTGGTCCGCTGCAGCAAGAAGGCAACCGAGCCTCACAGGGTATACCGTTCGGTGGGAATGGCGCTGCGATGTCAGGAGGTCACCCATTACCCAGCGGTAGTGGTAGTGGCATGCCGCAGGGGCAGCAACCTATACTTAATGTAAGTCCAATACTTTTATCGTATTGTCGTCTACTGTCATATGAAGATTCTCGACAGCAGACTTAGCCAAGCCTCCGTTTTCGCGTTCATCATCTCTTTATGTGGGACGGGTACTTGCTGTTCCCGCCGCTAGGAATATTATTTTACACCATACACACCATATACACTTACCCTATCATTCTACTCCCCTGCTCCCTTACTCAAACATCCTCTCAAGTCCATGAAAAGCGCATGGGTAATAAACCTTTTGAGCCTCATGGGGAACGACTCTTTCGTTCTAATAATCTTCAATTGTTTGCACATATTTGGATCCGATTGTCTGTCTGCTTTATGCACTAATGTATAGTCTTCTCAGGACGCCCTCAGCTACTTAGACCAGGTCAAGGTGCAATTTGCCGACCAACCGGACGTGTATAATAAATTCCTGGATATCATGAAAGACTTTAAGAGCCAAACGTTAGTCGACATACCAAGACAACTATGATGTGTATAAGCTGACCTGAGAGCCAGAATTGACACACCTGGTGTTATTAACCGCGTATCAGAACTTTTCGCCGGTCACCCGAATCTCATTCAAGGCTTTAACACCTTTCTCCCGCCAGGATATAGAATCGAATGTGGTGCAGGAAACGATCCTAATACAATTCGCGTTACTACGCCCATGGGAACGACAGTTCAATCGATTACAGGCAGAGCAAATCAAGGCGACGGGGCGCATGGCCAACCGGGGACGAACGGACCTTTTTTCAACCACCGGACGAGCAACTGGCAGCAGCAACAACATCCACCACCGCAACCACCACCGCAACCGCAGCACAGCATCGAAAGCCCGGAAGCCTCTTTCAGCGCCCCCGCGCCAAATGGTCAAAGCTTGTTCAGAGCTGCTCCCGGTCCGCCCACAGAATTCGATGGTGCAAGCAGTGGAAATCAACAGCTTCGTGGTACATCTCAGATACAAAACAATTCTACTACGCCCAACGCGCCAACAACTCGGAACGCTCTCACACCAACTCCAGGTGGTTCACAAGGGGTGCCTGGCAGTGGAAACCAGCAGGCGAATATTGAGAAGCGCGGTCCAGTTGAATTCAATCATGCTATTAGCTACGTGAATAAAATCAAGGTGAGTTAGTCGTTAATCATCGAAAAGCACATGGACAAAAGCACATTAACAAACAGTTCTTTTAACCCCACAAAAATTTGCACGGTGGAATACTTGAACAAAACTTGCTAACTTGTTAACTTGTGCACGCAGAACCGCTTCCAGGATAAACCCGAAATCTACAAGCAGTTTCTCGAGATTTTACAGACCTACCAACGAGAGCAGAAACCGATACAAGACGTCTATGCCCAAGTTACCACCCTCTTCAATACCGCACCAGACCTTTTAGAAGATTTTAAGCAATTCTTGCCCGAGTCTGCGGCTTCGAACAAGGGCAACGGCGCGAAACCCGAAGACATGCTTGCCATGACCGGCCTTACTCAGACCACGCCGCAGCCTGGGCATAACATGAGAGACGGCCAGAAGATGCCTCCCGTTGGGAACTTTGCGCCTCCTGCCAGCGCAAGTAAAGATAATAAAAAACGGCCTCGTAACGAGAAGCAGACCGCGCCTCCTGCGCCTGCCATTGCTGATAGTCCTGCTCCTGGATCACGCTCAATTCCTGGAGTAGGTCCTGCTAGCAAGCGACCGAAACTTAATCACAAACCTCTCGCCTCGGACGTACAATCCATCGAGCCCACACTCACCCCAGTTCTTCCTGAACCTCTCCCTCCCACGTCGTCGGCAAACGCGACAGCAGACGAATTAGGATTCTTTGAGAAAGTCAAGAAGTACATTGGAAACAGGTCTACGATGAATGAGTTCTTGAAGCTCTGCAACATGTACTCTCAGAGTTTGATCGACACTAATGATCTCGTTCATAAATCTAGTCAGTTCATCGGAGGCAATGCTGAACTGATGGGTTGGTTCAAGAACTTTGTAGGATACGAGGGTCTTGACGAAATTATCGAGAATAGGCCAAGGCCGCCTACGGAGAAGGTCTCGCTGAGCAACTGTCGGGCTATTGGAC